TACAGTTTTAAATACAGTATGAGGTCTGATGTTTTCATTTCATAGTTTCGTGTGCATATTTTACTGTTTTATTGATTATGGGTTGAATGACCGAGAAACCGATGTTGTATGTTGTCTTGCTTGGCATAAATTACTGTTTTGCTTGTTTGTGTGAATTGATGATGCTGACTGAGGAAAATGGGAATGAAAGGTTATGTAAATTTATAATTGTATAATGTGATCAGCCTGACTAGATATCCTGGGAGATGGTGGACGGACCGAGTCCGTAGGGAACCCTACCGGGATTGTGGTCTCCAATACTGGACAGGGTATGGAGACCTTATATGTTTTGGCGCCCATACCGGACGGGGTATGGGGACGGCCCGTTTCACCCTCATACCGGACGAGGTATTGAGATTTATAGTTTTGGCGCCCATACCGAACGGGGTATGGGGACGGCCCTGGAATCAGGTTGTAAATGTTAAAGGTTCACGGGTAGCGGGACCTCTATGGATCCCCACGGATACTAGTAGGCTGGTAAAGAGAAAAATATGTTGTGTAATGATTGAATTACAAAAGGCGTGATAAGTATTATGTTATACAGTTTATATGATTTCATGATGATGATAATGTTATTGCTTTCGTATATTGTTTTATGAATTTCACCGAGGTAAGTGGATGGTAAAGGTTTTATTATTGATAAAAGGATTTGTTGTAAATTATGCTCCATTGGTCTTTTTGTGTTTTCTACCCACCTTTACCTCCGTGACGGTGAGATATCGTGATGTCTTTACTGGGCTAGTGTAGCTCATTCCTTATTTAATCATTTCAGATCAGGAGGACATTGTTCCCGAGCCCGTTCCGCAGGAAGACGACGAAGGGGACGCCTAAAGACTCCATAGTCATATTCATAGCTTTTACTTTCGAGTTTCTCTTTTAGTTAGTTTGATCTTTTATATTTTGAGCACGTTTTTGGTTTTAGTGTAAGGGATGTTAATCGAAATTTTGACTTCGCTTCCACATTTGACATTTTTAATACACATATTTCATTTTAAATTTCTGGGGTCGCTACAGAGAAATTGACATCAGTTAAAGAGATTCGTAGCTTTCTGGGGATAACAGGTTATTATTGTAAGTTTGTGGAAGGATTTTCTAGCCTACCTGCTCCTTTGACTCGGCTCACAAAGAAGAACATCAAGTTTGAATGGAACGAGAACTGTGAAAGGAACTTTTCAGAAATAAAGAAGTGGTTAACTACTACACCTGTGTTGGCCTTGTCGAGTGGGACAGATAGATATATAGTTTATAGTGATGTCTCTTACCTGAGGTTGGGTTGTATTCTGATGCAGCATGGGAAGGTCATAGCTTATGGGTCCAAGTAGTTGAAGAATTATGAGAAAAACTACTCCACCCACGACTTAGAACTTGTCGGGATTATCCACGACTTGAAAACTTGTCGCCGTTACTTGTATGGGAAAACTTTTCAG